AATATATCTGAATACTCCAAAGCAATTAAACTTAGCAGTTAATGTAGTTCATGAGACTTGATTGCAAATATCTTCACCATATCTGGCATGTTCCCGCTTCTACCGTGATTCTGTGTAAGGTGTTAACTTGCAGAGGTTCATGTAATGAATAATCATTCTCCCTTCCCAGGACTTGATTTCACTTAAATAAGGAATAGGAGTCAATCCACTGGCCCATTAATATTACATAAAGCAAGTAGTAGGCAATGTTCATTCAACACTCCAGAAATCATGGACTATATCTTCCTTGTTGGTTTGTCATCCTTATGGGAGATGTAGTTTACAAGATCTAGTGTAGAGAAGGCTGCCTGAACCTGACTTAGGGACAGGGCTGGTGCAAGGATTTTTGGCTACACAAAGCATCTTAACCTGTTTATCTTAACGCCTCCCTCTTCTCCTTAGTATGTCTTACACCCTCTTGGTTTGTCTCTTATGGTCTCCTAAGCCCCTTTGTCTGTATATTACATATTACTTCCCCCAACCCCTGTATGCGTCTTATGCCCCTAGCCAAAACATTTGAATTTGACAGTTTTAGGGGAATGGCGATAGAAATAAAGCCACAGACTATAAAAAGTGACCATATGCAGGGATGTATCTATCATGAGGCAAACAAGGCAATTGCCTTGGGTGGCAATTTCCTGGGGGAAGCAAAAAACGCTGCCCCCAAATGCCCAGGCTAATGCCTTGTTTGCCTCGTTTTATGGGGGCCCAAGAGCTGGCCGGCTGACCACCTTTGGGCTCCCCCTGGGCAGGTGGCCAGTTATTTCCCAGGCAGGTGGTGAGGGAGCACGTTCCCCTAAGCTCTCTCTGCTCAGCTCCCTCGTGTATGTCTGTCTGTCAGTGAGTGTCTGTGAGTGTGTGTGTCCAGTGAATATGTGTGTCTGAGTGATTGTGAGTGTATGCTGACTTTTGACATTGGCATACCGAAGACCCAATTGACACCCCCTTCTGAACATCACTCTCACAGAAACCTCCAATGTCTTGACCTAGAGCATTTCTCCACTAATCTCCAAACTCTCCTTTTACCTATCTCAAACCTCACCTGTCCTAGTTCTGCAACCTCCTTCTACAATTCCACCCTCTCCTCTCAATTAGACATCATGGCACCTTGTACATTTAAACGCCACAGGCGACCCAACAACAACCCTGACACACCAAGCTCACTCGATACCTCCAAAAATGATCCAGAACTGCTGAACGCTGTTGGACCTGATTTTCTCCACTATAAATTTATGCTGAGCTCATACAGCTTGGCTCTTTCCTCTGCAAAAGTTAATTACTTCAATACCCTCATAACCACACTCTCCCGCGAACCCAAATGACTATTTCACACATTTAACTCTCTTCTTCGCCCTGCTGTTCCTCCTCCAACTACTAACTTGGCCGCCTCAGACTTTGCAACTAACTTCACTGACAAGATCTCTACAATCAGAGAAGAGATCTCTCATCTTTTTTTCTTCCCCTTACAATACTTCCCCTAACTTCACTCCCTCTGCTGTTCTATGTTCATTCGCACCCGCTACATTGGAAGAGGTTTCTGCTCTGCTCCAGTCCTCCCGCCCCACCACCTGCCCTCTAGATCCAATTCCCTTGCATCGCATCATGTCTTCTTCTCTTTCTCCACCTCTCACTAAAATTCTCAATCTCTCTCTCTCCTCTGGTATATTTCCATTGCCCTTCAAACATGCTACTGTAACCCCAATTTTAAAGAAGCCCAATCTTGACCCTAACTCCCCATCCAACTATCGTCCTATCTCGCTACTGCCTTTTGCATCCAAGATCCTTGAAAGAATTGTGTATGCGAGATTGACAGACTTCCTCAAGTCTAATTTTCTGCTAGACCCGCTTCAGTCTGGTTTCCGAGCTAAGCACTCTGTGGAAACTGCACTGACCAAAGTATCCAATGATCTACTCGCTGCAAAATCTCGTGGTCACTACTCTATCCTAATTCTCCTTGGCCTGTCTGCGGCTTTTGACACTGTTGATCATTAGTGATGCACCGAACGGTTCGCCGGCGAACAGTTCCTGGCGAACATAGCGTGTTCGCGTCCGCCTCGGACGGCGAACGCATGCGCGGTTCGATCCGCCCCCTATTCGTCATCATTGAGTAAACTTTGACCCTGTACCTCACAGTCAGCAGACACATTCCAGCCAATTAGCAGCACACCCTCCCTAGCAGACCCTCCCACCTACTGGAAGGCATCCATTTTACATTCATTCTCAAGCTGCATGCTTAGTGAGAGGAGGGAAAAGTGTAGCTGCTGTTGATTAGATAGGGAAATGCATAGCTAGGTTAGGGTATGCTTTTTTTTTTTTTCTGTGTAATGTAATTGCAGTTAGTTGTCTGCCACTGCTGCCAGCTTCTGTGTCAGGCTCACAGTGGATACTGTGCCCATTTGCCCAGTCAGTGCCACCACTCATATCTGGTGTCACAATAGCTTGCATTTAAAAGCAAAAAACTTTTTTCACTGTTATAGATTGAATAGCAGTTAGTTGTCTGCCACTGCTGCCAGCTTCTGTGTCAGGCTCACAGTGGATACGGTGCCCATTTGCCCAGTCAGTGCCACCACTCATATCTGGTGTCACAATAGCTTGCATTTAAAAGCAAAAAACTTTTTTCACTGTTATAGATTGAATAGCAGTTAGTTGTCTGCCACTGCTGCCAGCTTCT